ACATGTATATTAAAACTGCTTTTGAATACCTCAACAGACCTTCTGATGGAGATATTAAAGGAATAATTCACCAAAAAATGAAAATTTGCTGAAAATGTACTCACCCTCAGGTCATCCAAGATGTAAATGAATTTGTTTCTTCATCAGAACAGATTTGGAGAAATTTAGCATTACATCACTTGCTCACCAATGGATCCTCTGCAGTGAATGGGTGCCGTCAGAATGAGACTGATAAAAGCTGATAAAAGCATCACAGTAACCTATGTGACTCCAGTCCATCAACCAACATCTTGTAAAGTGAAAAAAAGCTGTGTTTGTAATGAACAAATCCATCAAGACGTTTTTAAACTACAAACTGTTGCTTCTGGCTAAAGATATGATTCATCTATCTATAATATTGCTTTATCCAGTGAAAAAGCCATCTTGTCAGAATCGGAAGAGAAATATGCACAGATCAAGCACTGTTTACAAATCTAAAACAGTTCTAAACAAATGTGTTTTGATGTGAGAGGGCAAGAGGGGATGAACTTTTTCACTGGAGGAAGTGATTTGGATTATGGACTTGAATTTTAAAGTTAAAATTCCTTAATGGTGGATTTGTTTATTACAAACACAAAGCTTTTTAGCTTCACAAGATGTTAATTGATGGACTGGAGGCGTGTGAATTACTTGTGGATTCCTGTGATGTTTTTATCAGCTGTTTGGACTCTCATTCTGACGGCACCCATTCACTGCAGAGGATCCACGGGTGAGCAAGAGATGTAATGCTGAATACATTTCTCTGAATCTGTTCCGATAAAGAATTAAACTCATCTGTATCTTGAATGGCCTGAAAGTGAGTGAATTTTAAGCAAACTTTCATTTTTGGGGGAACTATTCCTTTCAATATTGAGGCTTTTTGACTTCTGATTTTAATAATCAAAGTCAAACTGTTGACCTTTATTTAGAAATAATCATTTAAATGACTATTTCACCAAAATAAATCAGTCATTATTTATCATTTTCTCACTTACATGTTGTTTCAAACCTATGTGACTTTTTCCTTCCATGAAACACAAAAGCTGAATGTTAAAAAAATGTTTCAGACGCTCTCTTAAAGTCACACAGTTTGAGGGGGAGTAAATAATGACCAAATTTTAATTTTTTGGCTATATTATTCCTTTAATGTCTCCTGCAGGTTCTTTGTGTTGGTTGATCAATCCGATCTAGTAAAGCGTTGTGGTAAACCTCTAGCAAACTTGCCACTTCTGACCTGGCTGGGCTCGCTACAACAAAATCGGTGCTCCCAGCAGTCTGCAGTCTTCTCCAGATGCCCGGAGCTTGAACAATGTGGCTCATAGGACATTGGGTAGGTAGAGAGAGCAAAGCAGCATGTTCTGTCCCAGAGCAGGAAAACGTCTGAAAGCCTCCCAGGCATCTGAGAAAATGTTGTACTTGAGGAAGACGCGGTGCTCCAGGCTGGTGGGCAGGCTGACATCTCTGCTCATAATGTAGATGCCATCGTTGTGCAGCGTGCAGGTGAGGTTTAAGCCAGACTTTGATGTGTTTTCCTTAAGCTGCAACCATTCTCCCGTCTGCACGTTGTAGGACTGTACCGTCAGCATGTCCTCCGTCTGGCTGAGTCTCCGCCGCCCCAGTTCTGCAGGTTCTAGCTCATGTGTGTAGCCACCCACCAGGTAGATGGTGTCCTCCACTGAGAGCATCTGCTGCTTGCGCACATGAGCCGAACAGGAACGGAACACGGACCATGTGTCTGAGGGGGGGCAGTAACGCAGTACATTGGTGTTCCTATCTGTCAGACATTAGGAGAAAAACACTGAGATGACTGAATCATAAAAGATCATTTTAATGTAGTAATTTAAAGGAAATTGCAGTTGCTTTTCTTCCCTACTAAGATGTATATACAGTATCTGAGTTGAACGGCTTCTCAAATGTAGGACCAGACTTTTGTCCATCAAGAACTGACTGAATCGTTGTTGTTTGCTAATGGTTGTGAGTGACAGGTTGATGGAGACGAGGGATTATTGTCCAACATAAATTACATCCTTTAAAATAAGCACAGTATTCCATAACAAATAAAAATCATAATTTTGAAATTTTTTGGTTCAATTTTTACTACATTTTCACTGTCAGACACACAATATATTGGTACCATATTGGTTATTGGCTATTTAATAGTTATTGGCCATAATATATAATTATATTATTAGACAGAATTTTAATAATCTTTCCCCTGGTTTCACAGACAAGGCTTAAGTCTAGTCCCAGACTAAAATGTAAGTCTGGGCTGTTTCAACTGAAAGAAACTTTCTTAAAATATATCAGTGCCTTTGTTTCGTCTCAAGATGCACAGCAGTAATGTTTTTTCTAAGGCATGTTTATAAAAATTATTTAAGTGTCCTAACTGAACTATGGCCTAATCCTAGTCTAAGCCCCGTCTGTGAAACCAGGCCTTTGAGTGTTAGATGATGGCAAACATTATCTAAAAGTAAAAAAAGGGTAAATGAGAAAGCACAATAAAATATATTCAATATTGGCCGATGCTGTTAAATTAAATAATAATCATTTAATATATTTTATCATCATTTCCCATATTTTTGCTGCTACCTTTGCCATAATCTAATACTCACTTAAAGGTAATTTTGTACCTTTACTAAAATTATGGCAAATAGCGGCAATTATTTTTTTTGTTATGATCACTAACTGCTAAATAACCGTGTAGTAATACAAATTCTACACTATTTTACAACAATTATATTAAATATGACAAAGTGAATTAAGCATCACAGCATTATAATATACAATATACATCTTTTGTAATGTATATTTATTTATAATGTACAATACATATTGATGTATGGATATGAATATGGATATTCATTTTGTGATATGATAAAGATTATAATTAATGTTTTAAAGATGAAGTGTTAAATGGAGGAAAATGTAATCTAAATGTTAGAATATCTTAAATAAGAGGATCAGATATCCTACGCTAGTTGATACCGATAAATTAGGGAAAAAAGGAGAAAAAAATCTAGTTTAAAAATAAGAGCAACCGGAAAAAAGTTTCACAAGTAAGGTAAGTAAAGACAAGCATTTTTTCTTTGGAAAAACACACAGAGATTAATTAACCACAATAAGACCAAGAACATAAGAAAGTAAGTGTGTGTGTGGGTGAATGAACCCATCTCTCAGGAAAACACACCTCTAGAGGTATAACCGCCCATGACGTAGATCATGCCCTGACACTCACAGGCAGAGAACTCAGCGAGAGGATCAGGCAGAGACGCCACACACGTCCACCAGTCCTGCCCTGGACTATAACACTCCACCGTACTCAGACAGTGACCTCCAACCGCATACAGCTTCCCACTCACGGCCAGGAGCTTGAAGTTGGATCTGGACACAGAAAGAGCACTTACTTGCACTGGACAAACCACAATAAATGGACAGATCAAGAGTGAATTGTACCTCTTCTGGTTCAAAGGTGCCACATGGTGCCACTCATTCTTGCAGGGGTTGTAGCAGTGGGCCACAGAGATCTCCTGACTTGTCATTCTGTATCCACCAACAATGAACAAGTAGTTGTCCAGCACAGCAGATCCGTATCCTCGGACATTGATCATGTCCTGAGGAAGATTGTTGGCTAGAGGTTTCCAGCGTTGTTCTAACTCATTATACCTCAACATGGACCAAGGCTCGTCTTGATTTGCCAAGTCCAGACAGGTGTCAGTGAAATCTCCTATTGCAACTAAAGTGGCCGTGCCTTTCATGCGCATATCTCGGACCTGATCCCGCAGAGGAGCTGGCAACATCCTGAACTCCGGCCTGCGAAGCATGGGATGATAATAGCAGCTCATGAATTTCAAACAAGCTTTTCTGAGATCATGCATCCCGTAGACGTCCGAGAGTTTGAAGAGCTCGACGCAGTTCTCCTGCTTGATTTCCGACAGCAGCAGCTTTAAAATGGAAGTGACCTGCAGGAAGGATGCGGTTTCGATCAGGTCCTCCAGAGTCTCGTTGGCCACCTGAACTTTGGAGGTGTTGATGAACTCCAGCACCAGCTCGAGCCCCGGCGCGCTGAGCCCCCGCAGCTGCACCGAGTCCTCCGCTGACTCGCGCATCCCGGAGCTGTACAGCGCGCGGAAGTAATCGCTCTTCTCGATCAGTTTGCTTTTACTCACATTGTACGTTTTGTCATCCATCACGATCTCGATGATCTGCTCGGGGGATGTCATGTCTGCCGTTCTGGGATCAGCGCTTGTTGTTCAGCTGCGATTAGAAGCGCTTGATGCCAAACGCCTATATATGGAAATGTTCAGCGCATTCAGCTCACGTGCATGCATATGTTTCATAAACAAGCACGTCATTTGCAATTGCAAACGCAAACAAACGGATGGTCTACACACACTAAAGGAATCATGCTTTATGGATTAATCTGCCTGTTTAGATATATTTAATTTGGCAGGTTTATACAGTCAGCTAATTTGCACTTGCGATCCATTTGCACTTATTTCAACACAGCTCTTATAGAAATCGTTGTTGTAGTTTAAATAATATGGCAGTTTATTGTCGTTTAATACATTATGCACTTCGGGTTTTCAAATGTAAATCAGTTCCTGTTTTGGTCTTGTGGTTTGTGTTGCGTCGCGTTGCGTCCTGCTCGCCCCAGTTTTGCGCAGTGGTATGTGTTTTGATATACGTTATATGAAAATGTTAGAATAACATATTTTAGGTTGTATAATAGGTTGTTAATATGCATTATAAATGTGTAATTTAACAGATAGTATCCTATAAAGTGATAATCGGTGGCGCTGATATTGCGAATAATGTGCGCATACTTGAGGCGTTTAATACGCTTTTACTGTACCACCTTTGTATTTCCTCCGGAGAGAAACTTGATGTGGTTTTAGGTTTGTAATTTATTATCGCGTTTATAAATTCTATTCTTTATATAATGTAGTTGATCAAATGCATTTAATAATTTTTAGCACTAAAAAAAAACAAAGTTTCTCCTTAAGGTGTATATTTCATAAATAGGCGGCCGAAATCGTTTACTCTCTTTTCTGACAGGGTTTATTTTGTCGACACACACACTTTAACTCCAATGTTCGGACACAAGAGACATAAATTTTAAGAATCTTTAAGAACATTTATATATTATTCGGTATGGGAGATAAGCCTTTACGATTGTAAGTGTTGTTTATGGGTTGAAAAGGGGCATATGTGAATGTTAGTTGGCTCGTAATCAGTGATTTACAGTCATAATAAACAGAATAGATAGAAGTGTGCGTGTAAAAGACTCACGTGTTTTTGTGTCCACGCTGTTTTTATATTTCATTCCCTCTCAGACTCGCAAGTGGTGACGTTGAAGGAAGAATAAATGCTTTGTTCAACCGGGTGAACGCCATTCAGAAAAAGAGCGGGCAGTTTGATGTGAGTCTGCACGTGTATCTCTTATTTTAAAGCGACAAGCATAAGAGCGAGCTGTGGGCTTCATTTGATAATGTTGTTTTTCAGTTGCTGCTGTGTGTTGGTGAATTTTTTGGAAATTCTCCTGAGGCTGAAGCAGAATGGGAAGCATACAAATCTGGTGCCAAAAAGGGTAAGGTTTCCTTTTAGGTTTAAATAGATTTTTTTTAATCACACCAAGCACTATACTGAATTAATTAGTGTTCCTTCTAAACCCCCAGCACCCATTCACACTTACATTCTCGGTGCAGCCAGCGAAGAGACTGTGAAGTATTTCCCAAACTCTGATGGCTGCGAGTTGGCAGAAAGCATCACATATCTGGGTAAGATTTGATCTATAACCTCACAGCTTTAGAAGACCTATGTCTTTGCAATTTTGTGTTAACCTATAGTGTATAAAAGTGTGCTTTACCACTGTAGGTGTATTGTGAGGCTCAGAGTTGCTTTTTTCATTATTATTATTGTTGTTATTTTATATATTTTTTCAAATTGTTTTATTTTTCTTGGATGGATCCATAACACAGCCCTGCATCTTCTGCAGATTTAATATTACCCAATATGATAATGCTGAATTTAAAAAAAAATCAGTTTTGCAAGCTTTAATGTGCGTATCAAAATAACAAAAGCAGTCAAAAGTTATGTTCAAAATGTATTATTTAAAAAATTAGTGAAAAAAATGTTCAAATACTCCACTGAGTGCATTCAACTTTACATACAACATATTTTTATAAATCACAAGCTTTTTTTCAGAAAATCTGTAATTTTCTCTCGCTGTTTGGGTGTAGTAAAACACTCACAGATGTAGCAAAAACATCTGGGTAATATTTGCATATTCTTCTCTCATTGGCCATAATTCTAATTTTGAAATCAGGATTAGGCATAAAAACATGTCTTGAGAATCATTCATAAATTTGAAAATCTTTGTGGAGGTGGTTCTGGTGATTAAGGGATAATGCAAGACTGCTTCACCTTACAAGTGGTTGTCGAAATGCATATCATATTTTGCGAGAACTTTTGACATGCTAGAGCAAAACAGGCACTGTTTTTCCAGTCAGCATCCCTAAATTAGTAAGAAGCAAGGATTGGATTTATTTCAGCAAATATGGTGCAGGATAGTGTAATGCTTAAAAATTAATCCGTCAATTTGAGTTAAACGAGTATGCTTTTTTGTACAGGTCGAAGAGGCATTTTCACAGGGGCATCGGGGCTTCAGATCGCCTATGTCAGTGGCAGAGAAGCTCAGCAGGAGGAGAAAAACACTGAGATCACAGAATCTTAAAAGATCATTTTAATGTAGTAATTTAAAGTCAGCATGAGATGGAAATTGCAGTTGCTTTTCTTCCCTATATATATATATATATATATATATGAGTGAAACGGCTTCTCAAATGTAGGACCGGACTTTTGTCCATCAAGAATTGACTGGATCATTGTTGTTTGCTAATGGTTGCGATCTCATGTGAGTAACAGGTTGATGGAAAGAAGGGATTATTGTCCAACATGAATTGCATCATTTATAATATGCGCAGTATTCCGTAAAAAAATAAGAATCGTAATTGTTTTTTTTGTGTGATTTTTTGTGTGATTTTTAAGATGTTTTCACTGTCAGACACACAATATATTGATACCATATTAATTATTGGCCATTTAATGGTTATCGGCCATAGTAAATAATTAATACATAATTATAGTATCAGCCAGAATTTTAATAATCTTCCAGTGTTAGATGATGGCAAAAATGATCTAAAAGTAAAACTAGGGGAAATGAGAAAGCACAATAAAATATATAGAATATTGGCTGATGCTGTTAAACAAATAAACAATAATAATAATTTAATATATTTTATTCTCATTTCCCATATTTTTGCTGTTACCTTTGCCATAATCTAACACTCACTTAAAGGTAATCTTCTACCAATACTATAATTATGGCAATTAGCGAATTATTTTTTATGTTATGATCACTAACAGATAAATAACTGGAGTAATAAAACTTCTACACTATTTTGTCTAAATAAATTCAATAACATCAATTATATTAAACATGACTAAATGAATTAAGCATCACAACATAATATACAATAAATATTTTTTAATATTTTATATATTTATTTATAATGTGCAATAATTAATATGTTAATGATTAATTTAATGGATTTTTTTAAAGATTAGAAACATTAAACTAATAAAGATTAGTTTAATGTAATTTAAATGTTAGATTATCTTAAATAAAAGTATCAAATACCCTATGCTGGTCGATACCAATAAATTAGAAGGAAAAAACATCTAGCTTAAAAATAAGAGAAACTGGAAAAAATGTTTCACAAATAAGATAAGAAAAGACAAGAATTTTTTTTTCTTTGGAAAAACACACACACAGATGAATTAACCACAATAAGACCAGGAACATAAGTAAATAAAGTAAAATGCCTGTTTGTGTGTGTGTGAAAGAACCCATCTCTAAGTAAAACACACCTCTAGAGGTATAACCGCCCATGACGTAGATCATGCCCTGACACTCACAGGCAGAGAACTCAGCGAGAGGATCAGGCAGAGACGCCACACACGTCCACCAGTCCTGCCCTGGACTATAACACTCCACCGTACTCAGACAGTGACCTCCAACCGCATACAGCTTCCCACTCACGGCCAGGAGCTTGAAGTTGGATCTGGACACAGAAAGAGCACTTACTTGCACTGGACAAACCACAATAAATGGCCAAATCAAGAGTGAATTGTACCTCTTTTGGTTCAAAGGTGCCACATGGTTCCACTCATTCTTGCAGGGGTTGTAGCAGTGGGCCACAGAGATCTCCAGACTTGTCATTCTGTATCCACCAACAATAAACAAGTAGTTGTCCAGCACAGCAGATCCGTATCCTCGGACATTGATCATGTCCTGAGGAAGATTGTTGGCTAGAGGTTTCCAGCGTTGTTCTAACTCATTATACCTCAACATGGACCAAGGCTCGTCTTGATTTGCCAAGTCCAGACAGGTGTCAGTGAAATCTCCTATTGCAACTAAAGTGGCCGTGCCTTTCATGCGCATATCTCGGACCTGATCCCGCAGAGGAGCTGGCAACATCCTGAACTCCGGCCTGCGAAGCATGGGATGATAATAGCAGCTCATGAATTTCAAACAAGCTTTTCTGAGATCATGCATCCCGTAGACGTCCGAGAGTTTGAAGAGCTCGACGCAGTTCTCCTGCTTGATTTCCGACAGCAGCAGCTTTAAAATGGAAGTGACCTGCAGGAAGGATGCGGTTTCGATCAGGTCCTCCAGAGTCTCGTTGGCCACCTGAACTTTGGAGGTGTTGATGAACTCCAGCACCAGCTCGAGCCCCGGCGCGCTGAGCCCCCGCAGCTGCACCGAGTCCTCCGCTGACTCGCGCATCCCGGAGCTGTACAGCGCGCGGAAGTAATCGCTCTTCTCGATCAGTTTGCTTTTACTCACATTGTACGTTTTGTCATCCATCACGATCTCGATGATCTGCTCGGGGGATGTCATGTCTGCCGTTCTGGGATCAGCGCTTGTTGTTCAGCTGCGATTAGAAGCGCTTGATGCCAAACGCCTATATATGGAAATGTTCAGCGCATTCAGCTCACGTGCATGCATATGTTTCATAAACAAGCACGTCATTTGCAATTGCAAACGCAAACAAACGGATGGTCTACACACACTAAAGGAATCATGCTTTATGGATTAATCTGCCTGTTTAGATATATTTAATTTGGCAGGTTTATACAGTCAGCTAATTTGCACTTGCGATCCATTTGCACTTATTTCAACACAGCTCTTATAGAAATCGTTGTTGTAGTTTAAATAATATGGCAGTTTATTGTCGTTTAATACATTATGCACTTCGGGTTTTCAAATGTAAATCAGTTCCTGTTTTGGTCTTGTGGTTTGTGTTGCGTCGCGTTGCGTCCTGCTCGCCCCAGTTTTGCGCAGTGGTATGTGTTTTGATATACGTTATATGAAAATGTTAGAATAACATATTTTAGGTTGTATAATAGGTTGTTAATATGCATTATAAATGTGTAATTTAACAGATAGTATCCTATAAAGTGATAATCGGTGGCGCTGATATTGCGAATAATGTGCGCATACTTGAGGCGTTTAATACGCTTTTACTGTACCACCTTTGTATTTCCTCCGGAGAGAAACTTGATGTGGTTTTAGGTTTGTAATTTATTATCGCGTTTATAAATTCTATTCTTTATATAATGTAGTTGATCAAATGCATTTAATAATTTTTAGCACTAAAAAAAAACAAAGTTTCTCCTTAAGGTGTATATTTCATAAATAGGCGGCCGAAATCGTTTACTCTCTTTTCTGACAGGGTTTATTTTGTCGACACACACACTTTAACTCCAATGTTCGGACACAAGAGACATAAATTTTAAGAATCTTTAAGAACATTTATATATTATTCGGTATGGGAGATAAGCCTTTACGATTGTAAGTGTTGTTTATGGGTTGAAAAGGGGCATATGTGAATGTTAGTTGGCTCGTAATCAGTGATTTACAGTCATAATAAACAGAATAGATAGAAGTGTGCGTGTAAAAGACTCACGTGTTTTTGTGTCCACGCTGTTTTTATATTTCATTCCCTCTCAGACTCGCAAGTGGTGACGTTGAAGGAAGAATAAATGCTTTGTTCAACCGGGTGAACGCCATTCAGAAAAAGAGCGGGCAGTTTGATGTGAGTCTGCACGTGTATCTCTTATTTTAAAGCGACAAGCATAAGAGCGAGCTGTGGGCTTCATTTGATAATGTTGTTTTTCAGTTGCTGCTGTGTGTTGGTGAATTTTTTGGAAATTCTCCTGAGGCTGAAGCAGAATGGGAAGCATACAAATCTGGTGCCAAAAAGGGTAAGGTTTCCTTTTAGGTTTAAATAGATTTTTTTTAATCACACCAAGCACTATACTGAATTAATTAGTGTTCCTTCTAAACCCCCAGCACCCATTCACACTTACATTCTCGGTGCAGCCAGCGAAGAGACTGTGAAGTATTTCCCAAACTCTGATGGCTGCGAGTTGGCAGAAAACATCACATGTTTGGGTAAGATTGATCTATAACCTTCCATCAGTAGAAGACATAAGTATTTGCAATTTTGTGTTGGCTTGTAGTGTATAAATGTATGTATTGTGAGGCATATATGTATTTATTTATATATATATATATATATATATATATATATGTATTTTTTCTTCGTTTTTTTTCGATTGTGGTTCTGGTAGATGTTCTTGATTGCAAATAAGTGAAAATTAATTAAAAAAGATAGATCCATAACACAGCCCTGCGTCTTGAAAAAAAATTTCAGCAGTTTCAAAAAAGGTCTAACCAATATGAAAATGCTAAATTCAAAAACATAAGTTTTGCAAGCTTTAATGCACTTATAAAAATAACAAAAGCAGTCAGATGTTACACTCAAAATGTATCATTTAACTTACAATTTGTAAAGGAGTGAAAAAAATTCAAATACTCCATTGAGTGCATTCAACTTTACATAAGTTTGTAAATGCACAAGCTTTTTTCACGAAATCTGTACTTTTATGTCACTGTTTGGATGTAGTAAAACACTCACAGATGTAGCAAAAACATCTGGGTAATATATGCGTTTTCTTCAGTCACTGGCCAAAATTCTAACCTTGAAGCTCATGATTAGGCATAAAATAATGTCTTGAGAATCATTCATAAATGTAAAAATCTTTGTGGACGTGGTTCTGGTGATTTAATACAAAACTACTTCACCTTGCAAGTGGTTGTCAAAAGCAAAAATGATATGAAATGCACATCATATTTTGTGACTGAGAAGAACGTGTGACATGCTAGAGCAAAACAGCTTGCTCCAATGACATTGGATTTCATTCAGCAAATATGGTGCAGGGTTGTGTAATGCTTAAAAATTAAACTCTCAATTTGAGTTAAACAAGTATGCTTTATTTTTTTGTTTATTTTTTTTTTTGCGCACAGGTCGACGAGGCATTTTCACAGGGGCATCGGGGCTTCAGATCGCCTATGTCAGTGGCAGAGAAGCTCAACATGAACCTGCTCTTTCACACTGCTTCACCTCTAAAGACATCACTGCCCTGGTGGCCCCACTTCTGTCTAACTCCAAATTTCGAGGAGTGGACATTCTCCTGACCTCGCAGTGGCCTCGAGGCGTATGGCAGTATGGAAACAGTCCCGTCAGTGCTTTGTTGGGCTTCTTTAATACATTTGGATCAGTTTTGCAGGAATTTCATGAATGTGTGCTCAAGGGTCTTTTACCTTCTTGCCCTTTTGTAGGAAACTGATACAAAGTTTTGTGGGGTTTCGTCCATCGCAGATCTCGCTGACAAGCTGAAGCCCCGCTACCATTTTGCGGGACTGGAAGCGGTGCATTATGAGAGGCTACCTTACAGGTGTGACATTATAGCATTAGGATATGTTTTGCTTTTCAGATGATATTTGTTTTACAAAATGTGTATGAATTTGCAGGAATCATGTGGTCCTTCAAGAGAATGCTCAGCATGTCAGTAGATTCATCGCTTTGGCAACTGTCAACAATCCTGCCAAAAAGAAGGTGTGTGTTTTTTGTTTTTTTGGTAAAATTTTACTTATTATTGTAATTTTGTGTTTTTGTAATTTTTATTAGTTTTGGTTGTATTAAATGTGTCTTTTTTTTGTTTTTAATTTTAGAAGTTATTTTCTTTTAGTTGCTATATTTAATTTCAGCTATATTTCAAATAACAAATGATTTTTAAAAAGTTTTAGTTAATAACAGCATTGCTTAAATTTAATATTTAAAAACATTCATTCATTAACACCAAGTATAATGTTTAGCAAATCTCAGAATTAACATCTATATTTTATACTGCATATTATAATATTGGCATAGCTGAATTCACTTGTAGCATTGATTTTAGTTTTTAGTGTTTCATTTTTTAAATTTTAGAGGAAATCGAATTTTAATATAAGCCTTAACATGAAAATAATTACTAGAGAGAATGAATTTGTGGTTTAACTGTAAAGTTGATCTTCTCTTATAGTATTTGTATGCGTTCAACATTGTCCCGATGAAAAACATGGATCCTGCAGAGTTAGTCAAGCAGCCTCAGGATGTCACAGAAAATCCCTACAGGAAACCTATGAAAGATGGGAAGAAAGAAAAACCGCCACCCTCTATGACAGGCACAGAGGTTTGTGTGTGCAGTTTTTACTTGCATATAGTTAATATATGCAAGTATATTAGGTTGGGGTCAGTGAGATTTTTTTTTTGTTGTAGTTTTTAAAGATTTATCTCTTTATGTTTACCAAGTCTGTATTTATTTGATCAAAAATAGAGAAATTTTGTGAAAAAATATTAGAATTTAAAATAACTGTTTTCTATTAGAATATATTTTAAAATATACTTATTCCTGTGATGGCACTCCAGTCTTCAGTGTCACATTATCCTTCAGAAATCATTCTGATATGCTGATTTGCTGCTCAGAAAAACTTTTATTATTATCAGTTTTTGTGGAAAAGCATGATGCCTTTTTTTTCAGGATTTATTTGATTAAAATAAAGTTCAAAAGAACAATATGTATGGCGCTAATAGCCTCAAGTGCAATGCACCAACATATAGCGCTGTTGCACTTTGGGTCCCGGCTTGTGGACCTTTCTTGATTCCATCCCCCCCTCTATTTCTCTCCTGTCTCATATACTGTCCTTTCATAATAAAAAGGCAAATATGCCAAAAATAAATCTTAAAAATAAGAACAGTATGTATTTGAATGGAAATCTGTTAAAACATTATTATTGTCTTTACTGTCTCTTTTGAATAATTCAGTGCATCCTTGCTTTTTAAAAAAAAAAAAAAGAAAAGAAGGCTCTTTCGTAGTGTACCTTATTTCAGTGAAAAGATCGTTTGAACTTTTTGTTCAGGAGGAACCAGCATCCCAGTTCTTTTTTGATCTGGGCCAGAATAAACCACAGCACCAGCAGCGTCACGGCAGGAAGAGACAAACAGACGGAGACAGACCTAATTATCCCAAACAGCCCCGAAGACACCGTGAGTCCATTCACCTGCAGTCTTTCCACTCTAATGGAGTGGAAAGACATCAGTCTAATGCATCAAACTGGGCTGTTTTTATTACCTTATGTAGAAATATTCAGCATAACATATTTCAAGCCTTGATTTCTTCTCTCCCTGCAGCACAGCCCACTGGACCCTGTTGGTTCTGCCTTGCGAGTCCAGAAGTCGAGAAGCACTTGGTCATAAGCATCGGAACACATGTGAGTCCACAGAATATGTATTCTCTAGCCCAACGTCAGTTTAGAAAGCTTTAAAAATAAAAAAATATATACCAACTGATAAGTTATTGGTCAATTTTGCTGTCTTTTTGCCATTATGCTTTAACGTAACTAATCTGTTTCCAGTGTTACATGGCTCTTGCTAAGGGTAGTCTTACTCCTGACCATGTTCTCCTGCTGCCCATCGGACATTACCAGTCAGTGGTGGATTTGGCATCGGAGGTGGTTGAAGAGATGGAAAAATACAAGAGTGCCATCAAGAAGTTTTGTAAAAGCAGAGCCCAGCGGTGTATCATGTTTGAGAGGAACTACCGCAGCCAGCACCTTCAACTACAGGTCCATACTACATTTTGTCTGATTCATAATGCGATTGTGGCATCTGCCTGAATGGACTGAACTTTACAGATCCTAGGTCAGTCTAAGCAGCACCACATATATGAAAAAGAAAGTCTGGTAAACTGATAGCAGCGTGAAGGGTGTGAGAGATGCCCAGCCCTTCACCAATCACAGACTTCAACATCATTTCATCAGTTTAAGTCTGAGCGGATAGACAGTCTGTCTGCACTGGCGAATAACCATTTCTGAGGGACGTGTTCCCAGTGATGACCAAATACATGATTTCCCAAAGACCTCCTTATGAGAAAGCAATGCATAATTGGTTTAACGGAAACTTCATTTGTCTTCCTCAGGTAGTGCCGGTGCCCATGGAGAAGTGCAGTACAGAAGACATCAAGGAGGCGTTCATGACACAAGCTGAAGAGCAGCAGATAGAACTGATGGAGATTCCAGCTCATACAGACCTCAAACAGGTACATGCCATCTGTGTCCATCTCAGACTGAACACACAAAAAAATTTGTCAGCTGTGGTTGAGGACACTTTTTTTTTTTCTCTAGGACTTCATGTTCATGTATACTTGTTTATTTTTTATAAATATGCATTTGTTTGTTGTTTTTGTGGTGTAAGCAGTAAAAACACATTCAAAATTCACAAGGCACCTTGAAATCACATCTGAATGTAATCTAAAATAGAATTTAAAAATTAAATACATTTAAATGTTTTGAAAGGCTAGACTGGATTTCAAGCATTTATTTTTCATTTTTGTCAGTTGGGTTTGTGCTCTCTTGTTAAGTGCTGTCCGATTACACTCATTTTCACTCTCTCTGATATACTGATCTATGTAACATTATCTATGAAGTGAATGAGAAAGCAAATCATGAGGAGACCAAGAGGATCTGTTTTGCACTGTGACTAACTGTAATATCCCCCATTACAGATTGCTCCTCCGGGAACGCCCTACTTTTATGTGGAGCTGGATACAGGCGAGAAGCTGTTTTATCGCATCAAGAAAAATTTCCCTTTGCAGTTTGGCAGGTAATTGTTACATGGACAGCTCATCACCATGAGTTATAAATATTTGAATGTTTATGACCTGTCTGTAAAAACCTGCTTTGCATAAGCGCCTATACATTCTGTGTTTGTGTTTATGTGTTTGTGTGTGTGTTGTGCACTATGTGTTTGGCCTCAGGGAAGTGTTAGCGAGCGAGGCGCTGTTGAACATCCCCATGCGTGCCGACTGGAGAGAGTGCAAATGTACAAAAGAGGAGGAAGAGGATCAGGCCAAACAAATGCGCTCTGACTTTGAGCCCTTCGACTTCGCACTCGACAACTGAGCAACGTTTCAGATACATCTGACTTGATCCCTTCACGTTAATGAACTCAGTCAGTGTGTCAACTGCTTATTTTATAATTTTATGCTTTTTAAATTTTGCACCATATACAGGTGCATCTCAATAAATTAGAATGTCATGGAAAAGTTCATTTATTTCAGTAATTAGTAATTGAACCAAAGACTTAAACTACTTCAGTCTGTGTGCATTGAATTTATTTAATACACGAGTTTCACAATTTGAGTTGAATTACTGAAATAAATGAACTTTTCCACGACATTCTAATTTATTGAGATGCACCTGTACATTTTCCTCTTCCTTTCATTTGCAAACAGTTAGGAAATGGCTGTTGTCACAGTGGTCTTTCAAAAGATAACTTTTTTTTGGTGATGTATCTCATCTGTTATATACAATTACGTGTGGAATTTTGTTGTGATTCATAATTAAAGTCAGTTTTCAGTTTTGTAAAATCTGCATTTCTCTTTTGTAGTAACAGTGTGGTGTATGTCCTCTGCTTGTTTTGATGTCCTTTTGAGATTTTACTGATGTTTGTACTTGTGCTAAAGTACACAAACAACCATGTCATCTCATAGCCTACAAAAGAAAACACCTATGAAACAAAATAGTTATGGAAATTAACTATTAATTATGGATTGTTGAATATCCATTTTTATATAATACAATAAATATTATTTACTCTAAATATTAAAGTAATATTTATTACTTTACTGTAAAATAAAGCAGATATAACCCGTGTCATTATTTGCTTACAAAAAAAGTTAGAAGTTATGACCATTACAAGGTAGTGCCTTACAACGGCAGTTACAAAGTTTAGTAAATAATTATAAATAGTAAGAATAATGTGTAACCTAACTACTCACGTATTATTTATAAATGTCACTAAAATGAATTATAAAGTGAAACTTTCAGCGTTTGCTCGAATATTAAGTCGAATTTTCGTTGTGTGACTAGAAATTATGATAACGTAGTAGTTAAAGACTTTTATTTTTTTAATTTATTTAATTCACATCACAAACTAATATGTAACACACTGTTTAAATACTTAGAAATTTAATAAAATGATCTGTACTTAAAATACACAAACTGTATTTACAACGATTCTAGTTTAAGGGGTCGGGGACTTTTGTTATGTTCAGAAAGCGGAAGTGCTGCAGGAGGCACTGAAGTCACGTGAGGAGTTATTTTCACAACGATGCATTTGTTGCACAGTCCTGACCGTTTTAGCACATTTAAAGCGTAGAAATCTGTGTATCTGTGACAGTTAAAAAGCAAACGAGTTGTTGACATGGATGAGGACGGATTGCCCATCGTGGGATCAGGAGTAGATCTTACAAAGGTAAGTTTAACATTGCAACATCAGCTACTGCTCACATGATCGTCTGACATATATAACAGTGATCATTATACTTTCTTTCTTAAGGTTCCAGCCATTCAACAACGAAGAATCGTCGCTTTCCTCAACCAGTTCATCGTCCACACCGTCAGGTTCCTGAACCGATTTTCCACAGTATGTGAGGAGGTATGTTCACCTGTCAACACATCATTCCCCTCTTTACCTTAACTTATATATTTCCTGAAAGTGTCAATGACCTGAAGATTTTTCTTTTCTTTTCCAGAAACTAGCAACAGTATCATTACGAATCCAACAGATTGAGACCACACTAAGCATTTTGGAAGCAAAGGTAAATCAAGGCAGGGTTTTTTAGGGGCCTCAGTGGAGTGCTAGGGGTCAGTGGGAGAAAAAGTGTCAATAATTAACAACAAAAGATTTATAATTTTATTAATAAAAATGAATGAGTAGGTAATATATAAAAAAAATTTTTTAATGCAGTAGTATAATAATATAAAAGTAGAAAAAATGTAATACAGTAGCTCAATAGAAACCACTATTTTAGGCTTATCCTGGTTAAACTGGTTAAAAAATATGTTGTATAAATTTGCAGTTAGCTTCTATTCCTGGTTTGGAAGATGTCACAGTGGATGGAGTGAGATCATCTACAGAGACAAACGGTCCTGCTGCGGCTGGCAGTCATGCCACGGGCCCCACTTTAGGTCCCCCTGTTGAGGTAACATTTATTCATGTCATTGTCATAAGTTCAAGTTCAAGTTCAAGTTGAGCTTCTATAAATATACTATATATAAATGTTTACCTATGCATAAAAAATAAATAAATAAAATAATTCATTTATCCCACTGCGTATTGAGGTATTTATAGCCATAATGGCAAATATTTGGTGTTAATACACCGTCTTTGTCCATTCAGGCATCTAGGCAAGTACAAGTGGCCCCTCAGGAGCCGAAAGCAGAGGCCCCAGCGGAAAATGTGATGACTGTAGCCAAGGACCCGCAATATGCCAGATACCTGAAAATGGTGCAAGTGGTACGTGTTTTTGGTAATGAAAAATGAAAATATGCTGACAAGTTACTCACCCTCAGGCCATCCAAGGTGATGTGCCTGTTTCTTCGTAGGAAAGAGATTTGGAGAAATTTAGCATTACATCACATGCTCACCAATCACTCTGCAGTGAATGGGTGCCGTCAGAATGAGAGGCCAAACAGTTAATAAAAACATCACAATAATCCACAAGTTCATCAGTTAATTTCTTGTGAAGTGAAAACGGCATGTTTGTAATAAACACATTCATCACTAAGATATTTTAACTTTAATCTATCACTTCTGGGCAGAATAACGGTCCATCATTTATAATAATGCTACCTGCATTACTTAAAATTACTTTTTTATTAGTTGTTTGGAGTCGGACTCTCTTTCTGATGGCACCCATTCACTGCAGAGCTTCCATTCCATGAGCAAGTCACATAATGCTAAACTTCTCCAAATCTGTTTTGATGAAGAAATAAACTCATCTTCATCTTCATCTTGGATGTAAATTTTCAGCAAATTTCCATTTTTGGGTGAACATCTTCCTTTAAAATTAAATCATAACCCGAGTTTCATCATTAAAAAACTCACATTTTGTCTAGTCATGACTAACGTGGAAAGTTCATGTATATGCCAATATTTTGCTCCTTCGCTCAGGGTGTTCCAGTCATGGCCATTAAAAATAAGATGGTAATGGAGGGTTTGGACCCTGGTTTGCTAGAGTAAGTGTAAACAACAGTAAAAATATTATGCACTATTTATGCATGTGTATAGTCACTATATGTATGACAATGAAGTGTTTATATTGTAGCTAATAGATTTCTTGCATTTCCCTTTAGTACTCCTGATGCACCTGTTCCAGATGAAGGCAAAAAAGGATTGGAAGAGCAAGATGATGACAGCTCAGGCAGCGAATCATCTTTCAGCGATTGATCAGCTCCGCCCCTCACGGCTAATGAGCGTTTTGTTGGACTTGTGTTGAGCCTTGCTCATCTCAAAGGAGGGTAAATGCACTTGAATGTCCTTACAGAGGACAGACACTTAGTGATGGCACTAAGTTTGTTTTACATCTCAGAGACGGCATACTTGACATCTATAGTGATGGTTTCTGAGGGCACTTGCTCACTAGGTGAGATTGCTAATGATTGTGATGATAATTGTGATGATTGTGATAACATACTGGTCAAAAATGTATAGCCTGTAAGTCACTTTGGATAAAAGCGTCTGCTAAATGCTAAATTATTATTATTATTATTAATTATTATAATTGGTCAATTTAAGTCTAAGTGCTACTTTCATGTGAATTGTCATGAATATCTCATCTCTTGCCTGACATGTACATGTTAAATGCCTAGTATGTACATCTAATAACAATAAAAAGATGCAGTGAGTGTTTTTATGAAGTAGATTTTTATGAAATCAGCCTTGTAAATCTGTTCATAAATTGAATGTAGCGGAGTAATTTTTTTAAATGTTTGTAAATTTAACTTTAGTTGCAACAATCTTAAACTGACTTTGAATCTCAGTAATATCAATAACAAAAATGACTGTTAGATTTGTTGAGTTTCTAATAATACTTAATGTGTTGCACAGTCATTACAGATTTGCTTATATTGTCTTTTCCAAATCTAACTTGTTGTTACAAGTTGTTATGTCTGAATTCAGTGAAATTAAGTTACTTTAAAACCTACACTACCATTCAAAGTATGGGATTGGTAAGATTTTTATTTTATTTTTGAAAGAAGTCTCATGCTCACCAAGGCTGCATTTATTTGGTCAAAAATACAGTAAAACCAGTAATATTGTGAAATACTATTACAATTTTAAATTAGTGTTTTCTATTTGAATGTATTTTAAAATTTAATTTATTCTTGTGATGTAAAGCTGAATTTACAGCAGCCATTATTCCAGTCTTCAGTGTCACATGATCCTTCAGAAGTGTGTGTGTACTGGTTTATATATCCTGGTGGGGACTTAAACCTGACTACACGCAGATTCATGGGGACTCGTGTCACGGTGGGGACCTAAATTGTGGTCCCCACGGGTACAAAAGCTTATAAATCATACAGAATTAAGTTTTTTGAAAATCTAAAAATGCAGAATGTTTCCTGTGAGGGGTAGGGTTGGTGTAGGGCAATAGAATACAGGGTCTGTACAGTAGAAAAACCATTACGCCTATGGAGAGTCCCCACAAGGATAGCTGACCAGACTGTGTGTGTGTGTGTGTGTGTGTGAGCGCGAATGAGCGAATATGAAGTTTAAAAGAATAGCATTTATTTGAATAAGAAACAGTTTGTAACTGACCCAACCTCTGAATGGTAGTGTATGCTGCTATTCCTATCATTACAAATATTAAAGCAATCACTTTTCTTTAGTCATGCACATCATCATCATGTGTTTTTATTTCACAATTACAAAGTCAGACACACATTGTGCAAGCATGGACTTTTTTCAAATTCCACTTCATAAAGTGCAAGATTAAAACACACCTGTTGCATACTTTCAGCTGCACTGAATTTTCGGAATGATTATGGAGTAAAACAACATAAAGCAAGAAGTTCAAACTATAACCAAAGCAAAGATTGATTGACAGTAATGCGAATAAGAATTTGCTCAACTATTCTGTCTTGGCTGATCATAAATGCTTTCTAAAATAAGAATCAATATGAAGCAGCTTTATAAATTGTTTGGCATCAAGTAGTTATATTACATTTCAAGTACATGTTTATGCCCTTTTTCTAGAACAAGATACAAGCTACAAAAAGATACACTGCCAATGATTACACAGTACTTTAGCAGATCTTTCAACATGAAAAAGGTAGTAAGTTGTATAAAAATACAATTCTAAAATGCACAAAAACAGTGAAACATTCTGTAACGGTATGATGTCAAGGTCATGAATACTCTATTAAATTAACAGTCAGCTTCAGTGTGAATTGCTGTAAAAAGAAATAAAAGAAACGTTAATATGATATTGGAGGCACTAAAAGGAATCCAAATTAATATAATTCTGATTTGGAACAATGTGAAAAAAGCTGGGGGTCAGTTTATTTATTTATTTTTTTTATGTTTTTGAAAGAAGTCTATTTTGCTTACAAGGGCTGTGTTTATGTGATACAGTAAAATTGAAAATATTCTAAAATGGCATTTATTCCTGTGATGGCAAAGCTGAATTTCCAACAGCCATTACTCCAGTCTTCAATGTCACATGATCCTTTGAAAATGTTTCCGTATTTTTTGATAAATAGAAAGTTCAAAAGAACAGTATTTACTTGAAACTTATTATAAATGTATTTACTGTCCCTTTTGATTAGTTGATTAGTTTCACTTTCGATTAATGCATCTATGCAGAATAGAAGTCTTCATTTTTAATAAAAAATTACTGACCCCAAACGTTTGAATAATAGTGTAAGTCTAATTTTAAATACTCACCTGGAACTCTCTGATGTATGTTAAAAAGAAGAAGACAAAACTGAAAGTAGTGATCCATTCACATGTGACACTCACTATATGACGTGTGTAGTCCTTTAGAAGCAGGAAAACAAGACAAGCAACTTTAAACATTCAGCAATACATTTTTGCTACAATTTAAGCACTGGAATGTGTGGTTAGTGACATGAACTGTACCTTATCATTGGTGTCCCAGTGAAGTTGGCTTGTTCCGACAAGAATTGCACAAAAAATTGCTGGAATGAGGCGTTAAAGACAATCTGTTTGATCTGAAATATAAACAGCGCATGTCTTTACATGGAAAACCAGCATGCTGTGATAACAATACTGGATTTGAATGACCAGCCATGTAAACTGCAGATGCCAGTTTACACTAGCAAAACTACATTCAGAATGTCAACCAATAGCACATATTGTACCGCTGAGAAAGGATACTGGGTATTACAGCTAGAGCAGCCAGTCCAGCGAAGAACACACGGAAATGGCAAATGGACTTAGAGCATCCATAAGGAAGACCTTGGTACGATATCACACTCTGAATGACAGCATATGTAACCCCAGATAAGAAAAAGAGTAAAGCACCGAAATCATGGACTGGCATCACCGTCGTCTCCTAGGACACAACAACATACATGAGCACCATTAAAGAGAGTGTTATCATTTACTCCCCTCATTTCATTCCAAACCTGTATGACTTTCTTTCTTCTGTGAAACACGAGGAGATATTTTGTTTTCATCTGTTCAGTGAAAGTCAGTGGGGTCCAAAGCAGTTTAGGATCTCAACGACTTTCATTATATGGATAATAACACACTAGGACATTTTTTGAAATGGCTTTTTTTGGAATGACAAAGGTAAATAAATTGAGTAAAAAAGTGAGTAAAAAGTTCTTGGTTGAACTAGATATACCTGAAATGTAGCCACCAAACACATGCCGACACAAGAGATGATGCCAAAAGCAAAAGAAACCTTGTTCAGACAAGGGGACACGGCGCCGGTTCTCTCATGGACTCTCTCCACAAATTTATATTCAGCATACATAGTAGCAAAGGCTGGGAAACAATTGATTTTACTGATTAAAACTACAGTGGAAATTGCTGTGCAATACAGTAAAGAATATTCACTCATGCATTTAAACAGAATTTAACTGCTTTAAGCAGGATAAATAATTCACTGAAAATATAGGTTAAAAATGAATTCAGTAGAGTTGCCATGATGGTTGTTGCACTGATAACCTGTGATTTGGCATTAAGTTTCATTTCTGCAGTTGTTTGAGGTTTTAGTTGTGGTGCTATATTATAACACACTGAACTCCAGCTGTGTCACGGATGGGAAAAAATATGTTTTCGTTTTCAGCAGAAAGAGAAGTGAGACCCGAATGAGTGCTATTCCATTGTTACTAAAGAAACGTACACTCTAGACATTCCCACTGCTTTCCTCTCACATGTCAAAACCAAGCCGTTTGCGGCTGACTTCACATTGTGCAATTTCCCATAGGTTGTGAGCAGTGTTGGGGGTAACGCATTACAAGTAACGTGAGTTACGTAATCAGATTACTTTTTTCAAGTAACTAGTAAAGTAACGCATTACTTTTTAATTTACAAGAGAATATCTGAGTTACTTTTTCAAATAAGTAACGCAAGTTACTTTTTTTTTTTCAATTTATTGATTGACAGCTCTCCTGTCCCCATGTTGAGAGAAATCAGAAGATGTTACTGTAGTTCTAAAATAAATATGAATATGCATTAATTCATCTCACTCACAAAAAACACAGATTACTTTTAAAAGTAACTTTCCCCAACACTGGTTGTGACACACAGATAGCCTAATCGTAAGGAGTTTCCTGAAGCTGCTGGTGGGGGATTTGCACTTTCTGAAGTATGAGCTGGAAATCAAATCAAATCAAACTGAAATCAAATGACTGATTGTTAGTCATACCTGCAAAGGCATTGATTGTCGACATGAATCCAAACACACAGCTCTCAGGTGGAGTGGCCCCTGTATCACTTTTCAGAGACATTCACAGAAATAATAAAAAAGAACATTCATATTTGTGAAGCAATTCAGAAACATTTAATCATAAACTTGCAATATTTTATATTTAAACACACACACAAGTTCCACAGTTTACTGAATGACAATAAAAGTGAAGCCTCACCATTACAATACATTAATATGACTTTGACTTAAAAATATTTATTATTAATTAGTATTGGGTGTTATCATTGTTATATATATAAAATTACATAGGCTGACACTATTTAATATACACATTATATTATATTATATTATATTATATTATAGTCTTTAAAGAGTTTGTCCTGTTTCCTTCACTGAATACTGATTTTTAACTCGAGCCAACAGTAGAAAACGAAACTAAACGAACTGTCTGCAAAAACTTTATTCAGATTCTTAAATCTAGCAGCTGTATATAAATGCCCGCTTAAACATAGTCTTGTTACTATATTATAACTTTATACGCTATTATAAGCTATTTCTGGTTTATGTTATTTTAAAAGTTGTGAATTCGTATAGTCCAGATGTGTAGCCAAACTAAAATCAAGCTGAAGATAAAAAGACGAGTGACATACCTAATGTAAGGAAGGATAACATCAACATCTCGTCGAACTAAAGCGATGATGTAAGATATAATGAACGTACTCGATGACCAGATTACCAGAAAAGTAGGTAAAAAGCACATTCCTTGCATGAACCAAAACATCTCTCCTGAGGGCTGGGTGTAAGCGGTGCGTCACCATTCACGGAGACAAAAGCAAAGTGGACAGCAGAGATCAGACATTAAGACACAGATACTTCACTGAACACATACTGTATGAACAATAACTCGACGTTTATAACTCTATCTATAGTGTCACGTGTTCACTGGGAATCTTTCTCTTCCTCATTGTTTTACCCATATACTACCACCAGCACATGTGAACAACGCACAGAGCCTTTCTTTTTTTCTTTCTTTCTTTCTTTCTTTCTTTCTTTCTTTCTTTATTTCTTTCTTTCTTTCTTTCTTTCACTGCATAATTACATTTTAGATAAATCTCTCTGTTCACTTTACATTTTTTACATGCATGAAAAAAAAACGTTGTCATGATAAGTAATGCATTGTATTTCAGCTATTTGTCAGCTATTTGCAGATGAATTTTGAAAGCAGGCATTACAATATTTTTGACCAAGATGTCTTTAAATGGCTACTAAACACAGAAAAGAAAAGAGAGCATTAAATTATTATTATGCCTACTTTCTGTTCACAACACAACACACACAATTTTAAACAGTTTTATAAATGTAAATATTAATTTTTTTAAAACATTTTTTTCTTTATAGTTTTTAAATAATATATATTTAAAATTTGTATAAAATATGAAATGGATTGTTAAATAAACATCTCCGATGGTGTATGATAATACATATACCTATATATATATATATATATATACACACACACACACACACATATATATATATATATATATATATACATTTCACAAAAGTCACTAAAACTAGTTTACATATCTAAATATTCATTTAAATTGTGTTATAAATGACATAAGTTTTAAATAATTTATTCAAATGTAATTGTTAATTGAATTTATCTAAGTTTTATAATATTTCATATAATTATTTATTTTATTTTATTATTTTAATTCATAAAGTGATCGTCCTCCTAATCAATAGAGGGCGGCAGCGAGTCTGTCATGTGCATAGATCTACTGGAACTGAGCGTGGTATCATCACCTGATCACTACCAATGAGGAACTACAGCGTTTGATTGTTGAGCATGCGATCATGTGACAGTATGTGTTAGTGTAATGAAGCTATTTTTAATTTCACCAAAGGAAACATGTGTCCTCATTAATTGTTTATGGAGGAGGAGATGTTGATGGCCGGGGAGAGTCATGTTGATCATTAATTCGGTGCTTAAACTGCTGCAGCGGCAGACATACACCTGTCTGTCTCATCGCTATGGTCTGTACCTGTGCTTCGGAGGACTAGTCCTCATGATAGTGTCTGCTTTTCAGTTTGGAGAGGTATGTACACTAACTAGGGTAAAATTCCGAAATATACTGTCTTCATGAGATTCGCATTCAGGCCATGCATGTATCCTCTTATATTTGCATACTGTGTCAATCACTGATTACTGATCAAAGCTGATTGTGCAATCTGACTCTGACCTGTTACATAGTGGTTGCAAATCAAACTTAGACACTTTTAGTAAGGGTTTGGCGTTGTGTATTAACTGGCTGGCTGGTTTTGTTTGGTTTGGTTTGCAGGTTGTGGTAGAGTGGAGTCGAGATCAGTACCATGTTTTGTTTGATTCCTACAGAGATAATGTTGCAGGAAAGTCCTTTCAGACGAGGTGAGCAACAGATCAATGAAACCAGCTTCATTCATGCACAGTAATAAAGTTCTGTGTTAACTGATCACTCTTTAAGGGGCACAGTTATTTCATGCTTATTATCTGAGAATGACTAAAATTCAGCTGATATGTCAGTCTGTCATTACTGTGATTTTTTTTTTTTTTTTTTAATGCATGATTTTAAAGAATACATCTTTTCATATATATGTTCCTGGAATCACGTACCTGCCTTGCTTCATATGCTTGTATAATTACAGGCTTTGCCTACCGATGCCCATTGATGTGGTTTACACCTGGGTAAACGGCACAGACACAGACCTGCTGAAGGATCTTCGTGCTGTGAGACAGCAGCTGGAAGACGAACAGAAGGCCTTGAGGTACCCCAGCCATATAACACACACACACACACACAAACACAACGTTAGTGTAGTATTTATTTGTGACCCTGCAAAACCAGTCATAAGGGTCAATTTCTAGAAATTGAGATTTTTACATCTTCTGAAAGCTGCATAAGTAAGCTTTCCTTTGATGTATGGTTTGTTAGGATAGGACAATATTTGGCCGAGATGCAACTATTTGAAAATCTGGAATCTGAGGGTGCAAAAAATCAAAATATTGAGAAAATCGCTTTTAAAATTGTCCAAATTAAGTTCTTAGCAATGCATATTACTAACCAAAAATTAAGTTTTGATATATTTACAGTAGGAAATTTACAAAATATCTTCATGGAACATGATCTTTACTTAATATCCTAATGATTTTTGGCATAAAAGAAAAATCGATAATTTTGACCCATACAATGTATTTTTGGCTATTGCTACAAATATACCCCAGCGACTTAAGACTGGTTTTGTGCTCCAGGGTCACATTTATCCTCATCGGAGGAGAGATTGGGATTGAGGGGAAATTTGATGGTACTTGTGTGTAACCGCTTGAAAGGAAAATAAATCATAATGTGTCCTTTTTTTTACTTTAAAACAGTATTATTACTATTACTACTATTACTACTACTATTGATTTATTTTGGTATTTTATTTTATTCTTATTTTATTCAAAACAATGTATTTTGAATTACACATGGTTCACAATATCCTGCATGGTGGGAATATGATGGAATCTATTTAACCATTTGATTAATGTGTTAATAAATCATAAAGGAAATAAAAACCTTTTTTTTTTACTTTAGAAAATGATTACAACTACTACTATTATTAATTTATTTTATAATTTTATTTTTATTTTATTCAAAACAATGTATTTTGAATTACACATGGTTTATAACATTCTGAATGGTGGAAATTTGATTGTATTTATTTAACCATTTTGATTACTGGGTTAATAAATCTTAAAAGAAATAAAAATCATAATGTTTGTTTTTGCTTTATAACAGAATTATTGTTATTACTACTACTATTAGTATTATACATTTATTTTATTATTTTATTGTTATTTTATTCAAAGCATTGTATTTTGAATTGCACATGGTTTTAAACATTCTGCATGACAATGGATTATTAAATAATAAAGGAAACAATATATAATGTTTCTTTTTACTTTAGATCAGGATTATTATTATTATTATTATTATTATTATTATCATCATTATTATTATTTCTACTACTACTACTATCACCACTACTACCAATCATAGTACTGTATTCGTTTATTTTATTTTGTTCAAAACAATGCATTTTGAATGACATGCTTTGTCACATTCTGCATGGTGTTAATTTGATGGTATTAATTTAATTGTTTGATAAATTGATTATTAAATCATAAAGAAAAAATCCTAATTTTTAATTAAATTTTATTATTATTTTTTATTTTTACTTCTTGAACAGGATTACTACTACCACAAATGTATTTTATTTAATATTTTATTTTGTTATTTTATTCAAAATAACATATTTTTAATTGCACACCTGTCTATTGCAAAAAAAAAAAGATTATATTGAATTTTGAGTAAGGGTAAAAGGTTTAACATCTCATGGCTTTTAGAGATTTGTGCACTGTATCCACATGCATCCAAAGCTAATCAAATAAAAATGCAGATATAATATTTGTAGGTGCAGTTTCTATTCAGAATCTATTGTGTCCTGTATTTTAGTATGTTTAGTATGGTGGGACACACCCATCTTTATTTGGCAGTGCTGACAGTACTGTTAATGTCAGAATAGCAAAAGTTGCTTAATGATGTTTAAAAGGGTTTTATGTGCTGTTTTTTAGGGAGCGTCTTGGAAAAAATGCATCTGAAATAACTGAAGCTCCTAAGGGAAGGTGAGTGTTTTAAATAAGTAAATAAGCTAAAGTTCATTTCATTCTTATTCTATTCATATGTCTGCAGGACATGAAGCAAACTAAATATTGTGCGGTTTATACATTTCCTGTTTCGTAGCAACCAGGGCTTTTGTCACAGCCACAGTTGTTTTTTATGCCACCAGAGTTTTCCTGTGTCAAAAGCAGCTGCTGCACTGCAGAATAATAGTGTGAATGGCTGTATCTCTCATAAAGATTAGCTCTAGATCAGGGGTTTTCAAACTGGGGTCCGTGACGCAAAGCCAGGGGGTCCGCAAAATAATTTGCTATACAGTATTTACCGGACTGCAACTCGCGTTTTTTATCTTCTGAAACGTGCTATGATTTATATTCCAAAGTGACTTATATAATGCGTTAATGTCAAATAAGCAAAGCGTAAACACTTAAAAGCAGGCACTTCAAGGTTTATATAGCTAAATATATTTCTCATGTCTGTTTGACAAGTAGACAGTATGGCAGAGTTTTTCTTTATTTTAGTAAGAAGTTCACAGAGACCAAGACTGCAAGCGCATTTTGTTTTTCTTTATTTGCAAAAGCACAACGTTTCACTGTCATTTTGAAGGTACACAAATAAAAATAGACCGTTTTGAATGATGTCTTGCTCTTATCTGACGGATATCACATTTTTCCGCTGATAAAAGGAATCCAAAGTGTTCGCGCTGGCACCTCCCGCGCGCACACAACATATCAGTTCTAGCTAGCATTGCAACTTGGCATCACAGCCTCATCACCAGCAAACTAAATGAGACAACTAAACATACAAAAGGTATTTGGTGACTCAATTTAACTTGTCTGTTGTACAATATGTAGGTTTTGCCGGTCAGCGTGAGCATGCCGTGGTGTTTTTCCAAACACTTTTTTTGCATATGTGAAGGATGCTGTTAGTAGATATTCGGACATGAGAGAAGTACAAAGCCTTCTTTACATAATAAGTAGCCTGTTTAGCAACCAAATGTTAGAGTGCGTAACGATTCACTCATGCCGAATGAGAGGTTTGCGAGCCCACTATGTGGTTAAAGTTTCAGTTTTTAGTAAGTAAGTTTAGTTTGTTATGGACAGGTGCTGATTTATGTTTCTGCCGGTGGGTGCAAAAAACGAGAATTTATTTTAGTGCTGGGCGGTATGACCAAAAATTTATATCACGGTATTTTTCAAAATTATACCGGTTTCATGGTACATGATGGTATTTTTTTTTTTCATGCATGACCGGGTGTTAACCATATTTTCTACTGATTGAGAGAGGAAATACTGCAGTATATTGACTTAGAATGCCCTATTCT